TATTAAACATTCACCATATCGGAAAACAAACTGCTAGTTTGAAAATGTACTTTTCTCAAGAAGGAAAGTTTCAAGTGAAAATATCTTGTTAAATGTTTTGTAAAAGTTAAACACGACTAGATGATTTGTTGAAGATTAATTTCGGTATTGTTTAGATTTTGTAGTAGTTTTATATACCCTTCATTTCCGAGAAATGAGAAAAGATACGTAGGTTACCTAAAAATTCTGCAAATAATTTATTTTAAAGAGGTAGGTACAATTTTGTTCGGCTTATATTATTTAATAAAAAACTTAACAAACAAACACACACACACACTCACACACTCACACACTCACACACTCACACACTCACATACTCACATACTCACACACACACACACACACACACACACACACACACACACACACACACACACACACACACACACACACACACACACACACACACACACACACACACACACACACACACACACACACACACACACACACTCACACACACTCACACTCACACACACACACACACACACACACACACACACACACACACACACACACACACACACACACACACACACACACACACACACACACACACACACACACACACACACACACACACACACACACACACACACACACACACACACACACACACACACACACACACACACACACACACACACACACACACACACACACACACACACACACACACACACACACACACACACACACACACACACACACACACACACACACACACACACACACACACACACACACACACACACACACACACACACACACACACACACACACACACACACACACACACACACACACACACACACACACACACACACACACACACACACACACACACACACACACACACACACACACACACACACACACACACACACACACACACACACACACACACACACACACACACACACACACACACACACACACACACACACACACACACACACACACACACACACACACACACACACACACACACACACACACACACACACACACACACACACACACACACACACACACACACACACACACACACACACACACACACACACACACACACACACACACACACACACACACACACACACACACACACACACACACACACACACACACACACACACACACACACACACACACACACACACACACACACACACACACATACACACACACACACACACACACACACACACACACACACACACACACACACACACACACACACACACACACACATACACACATACACACACACACACACACACACACACACACACACACACACACACACACACACGCACGCACCCACACACACACCGACATCATCGCGAAAATAGTCAAAATAGATTCAGGTGATCCCAAAACGTAAAGAAAAAATCATGATTCCTATACTTTTCTTATCTGCATACATATAGAAAAGTAAAGTTGTTTGGAATGCCTAATAGATAGGCGGATCTGCCGTTGGACAAGATAAGATATTTGTTCGCGCAGATAAATGCTGTTTAAGTAAATTAAAATACAAGTATTTAAATATATTAATCAATGTTAGTGTGATAACATTACTTTTAGTAAAAATTATTTAAATATAAAAATAAAATAAATAAAGTAAATAAACGTTGCAACAATTTGTTTTAAATGTACTTACATGAAATTTATCTAAGCTAAACGTGACATAAACGAATATTATTTCGCTGGTGAATCACCAGATGCTAAATTTAAACTGGCGGTAATTATTTATTTGTTCATTCAACAGGATAAAACATAAAATATTTGTACAAAAATTGAGTTACAAATTGTTTAATGTAAATGTATACATCAAGCAACGACGAAAAACTACTAGACTAATTGTGTTTACAAAAATCGAATTGCAAACATTTAAGGTATCGTTCACGTATTTGTCAAATTATTATAAGAGAGTATGGGAGAGTATTGACTAAACATAAGGCACTAAAGAGAACAAAATGCTTTTAAAATTAAATTAGGGAAGTATATGTGAATTCTTAATGCCAGTTATTATATGTTTTTCTCTTTGCAACTGTTATAGTTCTAAAGTATTTATCAGAAAAGTACGAACTTAATTTTGAAGTGTAAGAGCAGTGCAAAGTAAGCGTAGCAGACAAAAATACCGATTCATTTATAAAGCGCATGATCGATTGACAGATAAACAATGCATCCCCATTCAAATTTGCAGCTGTCACCTTCTTTCTAATGCGGCAGCCGAATCGACAGCTCTGTTTGCCTAATAATTAACAGAATATGAATAATTGTAATAAAAAGGGGCTAAATTATGAATAAGTAGATTTAAGTAGTAGTTTTTCGTCGTGGCCGCAAGAAAGAACAGTGTATCACAAAAAAAATATGTGGAGGGTGAGTTGCCCCAAGGCACTCGCTAGGCCCATTTTGCATCCTCATAAGATGACAGGGCACCTCCTAGCTTGTGAGCTACCCTACAGACATGATGTAGTTGACAACGTCGCCAAGAGGTGCTTTTTTTATATTGGCCAGTTTCAGCCGATATTCGCCCAACACAAATTTTATAACACATGAGAGCATCGGGCAATCGTAGAGAATATGCTCGATAGTCTCATCTTCTTGTACGCACCCCCTGCAAAGTGCGGATTCTAACAACCCAATGATATGGAGATGCTTTCGTATTTGGCAACAACCAATCAGAAATTCTGTCTAGTCATAGTCAAGTATGTGTCTGCTTTAGTATTACCAGGATAACTTAAAAGCTCCCTAGCAACTCTGCCGTTTCTTGTTTCATCCCATCTTTTCTTCAATTTTAAGATAATTTTCTTTAATTAGGTCTGTCACTACCGATTTGGTCAGGCCAATAGAAGGGCCAGGTCCAAAAAGAAGTTGGTTGGCTGCCTTCGTGGATAGTGAATCAGCAAGACGATTACCTTTCGATGTGCCGTGACCTTTGTTCCATTTTAAGGGACCACATTGTTGATGGATACTTGCGCCAAAGCTTCTTGATATTCTAGTACTAACCTTGAGTGGATTTGTAGTTTGCTCAGGGTAAGTAGTGCTTGTATGCTATCTGTATAGATGAGTATGTCTCTTCCAGTGATCTTGTTTCTGGTGATTTAGCTCTGTTTATTCTTCACTATTGCTCATAGTCCATGTTATGTTTAGGTTTAAGGATCTGGAGTATTTTGCACATTCTGAGCCTGGTTTTGTTTTAAAACTGTTGGTGTAGATATGAATCGTATATGCCACTTTCGACCTTTTTATTTGTTCTGTTATAACTTTATATGGCTTATGGATGATATATCTCAATAAGATAGAGTCCATGTTCGATTAATTTAGTATAGAGCGCCTCCTGTCAAAGCGACGTCTCGCCTCACTAGATCCTACATCAGGTTCTATTCCAAGCTTGTGGAGGCGTGTCATTTTGTCGCTTAAACAATCTTGATGTACATATCAAAAGAAGTGAGATAAAGAATGACTTCCATGGCTCTGGTCGGTGTGTTTTTTATGGCTCTTGTTATGTTGAGATATGCTGTTCTTTAAATTTGTTCTAGTTTGCATTTAGCTGTCTATGCCAGTTTCCGATACCTATACAACTGCACTGTATATGATCATAGGTTTTATGATGGCCTCGTTAGTCCATGCTACGACTCTTAGGGACAAACCCAAGGTCCGCCCCACGGTTCCTTGTTAACTTGCTGTCAAAGGTGAGACCTAGGTATTTCACATGTGTTGCAAAGGTTAGTTTTGCGTTGAAGAGTTCTGAAGGTTTTTTCCATTTTCATCTATTTCCTTGTGAAACAAAACATTTTCGTCTTCTTGGGATTAGTAGACAGTTAATGGCCCTTGCACCACTGTTCTATAATTTTTAGAGCTACTTTCAATATTTCGCAGGGTATATTTTTAAAATTCCCTATTTGCATAATGACCAGGTCATCCGCATTCGCTATTGTGTAGTGACTGTCATTATTAAGGTGGCTGATGAGGGTGTCAAAGACCATGTTTCACATTAGAGATGATAGCACCCTTCCCCTCGCAACCAAGCCTCTTATAATTACATCTTCTACACTTATGTTTACTGCTCGATTTTAGAGCACGTTATGTATCCACCCACTAACCATATGTTAAACATTTCTGTTGGTAAGTGAGTGTAATATCTTGGGGTAGGTGGTTTTAATCAAAGAATCTTCTATGTCTATTAAAACACCCAAGGAATAATTATTATTGTCAAGAGATCTCTCTATCCGGCCAACAACTAGATGAAGGGCTGAATCAGTGGATCTGCCTTAAATGTATGCGTGTTGATTTGGGTATAGTGGTGTTGTTGTAATTATTGCATTTCTTCTGTACCTTTTTCGTAGCCTTTTAAATATCTTTATGAAAAACTAAGTTAGACTAATTAGTAGGTATGCTTTTGAAAGTGTAATCCAATCTTACAAGTTTTAGTATGAATACCAATTTTACCTCTCTCCATTCTTTGGCTCAAGGCATCTACCAGGTGCGGTGTGAGTTCTTCCAGGTAATTTATTAAACAATTTTTTTGTAATTTTGTATAAATATTTTTCAAAAATTACTTTTGTTTAGATTCAGACAGCAAGAAAATTAGAGTAACTTATGAGCGAATCATCACCTACAGTCCATTTGGCGAACCTTATAAAATCAAAGACAAAAATTTGAAATTTCTTCGTTGTCGGTTTGACTTTTTCTCTCTAGTAGTTTTGAACCACAGCGCTAATATAACAATTTAGTAGTGTCACTAATAAATAACGATACTTAGTCAACCAGAAGAATAAAAATCTCTAACTAAATAAGTTAAATTATTGTTTGTACTTTCATTATTTTTAAAGTAACACCTTGTAAATTGTAAAGTGATAAATTGATAATGCAAATTCTAATCAACAACTTTTCTGTTTTTAAATTAGTTAAAAATTGTTTATTATTACCTTACAGAAATAGTTTATTTACGAAGTTAATGGACAAAGGCGATTTGTTATTTTTATTTTTCTATATTTTTTTAATTAAATAATAATTATGTATCAGCTGTATCTCTTATGGTTGTTCTTTTTAAAATTTTTGGATGCACAAACTGATGAATATTGTGTTCTGTTATCTTGTGGTGATACACCAAATACAGTATGTGCTAGAGCACTTTGGGTAAGTGTTATATCTATTATTAGTACAAAACAATAAGTGGGCTTGCTTTACAAAAAAAAAAATATTCAAAAAACAGAAATGTATATTTTTTTATTTATTTATTCCGCTATTTATTCTTTGTTTTGTTAACTAATTACTTTTCACCAGTTTTATCTTGGATTTAGGAACGTTTAGAAACATTTTTTAGTAACATAACGAATAATTTTGATATACAGATGGCATTAAGATGAAAAACAGCACAGGGCTGGGATTTACTATGTGAACTCAGGAAGGACCATTAGTCTGAACCTGGGGTCACTGTTAAATGTTAAATGACTTGTTTAGAGATAAGAGGGTCTTTATTATGACAGAAAGTCAGGCAGCCCTTAAAGCACTAAAATAGGTAGAAGTATTATCTAAATTAATATTTGACTGCCAACAGTCCCTCCAAGCCCTAGCAGAACTCTCGAATGGGTGCCGGGACATGAGGTGTGTTAGAAAAATAAGACCTTCTAGCTAGAAAGGGAGTTGAGGAAACTTTATTTGGACCAGAATCAACATGTGGTATTTCATATCAACATGGTAAATAGGTGCTTACGAAATAGATAAATAGACAATACCATAGGCTCTGGTTGGAACTTCCTGGACTTAGACTGTCCTAAATATTCATAGAGGGTCCATCCAAGAGCTGACAAAATAACTGATAAATCTCAACAGAAGCGAACTAAAGGCCGTAATACGAGACATTGCGGCTTTAGAAGACACCTAAATCTACTAGAGATATCGGACGACTTCCTATGTAGAATATGTGAAGAGAATGACGAAACTTTGATTCACATACAATGACTATGTCGGAACCTAAAGAAATCGCGGAAGCACTCGTCAGACATATATGTGAATTTATCAAAAATATTAGCCTAGTAACACGTCCTTAAAATACGCCCTAATTCAGAGAGATAAATAAATGTTAACAGTAATAACAATGGTTATTTTTAGGATTAAGCCTGCTTAAATAAAATGAAATATCTGGCATATTTTTAACTTAAGTCTAATATTAAGTACTTTAAACATATGTAGATAGGTAGCTCAAAATTGAATAGATTGAATACAATTCAATAAAATAAGTCGTTGATCCCTAAATAATAAATGCGGTACAGTTAACTCGAGTGACCGAGGTGACCACCTCACTGAACTTATACTCTCTACTCATCAAATAATGATTTAAAATTTATCTAGTGCTATAATTAGGATCTCCACGATGCCGATATAAGTAATGTGTTTTGATTTTAGAATTGCGGACCAGATGTTGCTAAATGTGGTGCTGATGTTAAAGATTTAAAATTCACTCCCGTTCAAAGAGAATTTTATGTAGCCGTTCACAATAAGCTTAGAGCTAAAGTTGCAAATGGTGAAGAAACTAGAGGCGATGGTAGCGGCCAGCCTTCGGCTTCTAATATGAATGCTCTGGTAAGTCTCTATTTCAGTGATTCCCAAACCGTTCTAAATGTGAGAATGGAGTTTATTTTGATCAATGTCGAATTAAAATCTAAGATTCGAAGTGAGGTAGACCTTCGCCCATCTGCTTACCGGATGAAAGCTATTTTTTAATAACAACATAGTGCTGATAGGTGGCTTAAAAAAATACTATCAAGACTATTTTTAATAACAAGTTAATAAAATTAATTTAAAAATATCGATGCTAATGGTGGTGTTTTAGTTTGTTCCTCATATTTTATAAAAATCAGTGGTTATATTGTGCCTAAAAATTTCGTTGTTTTTTCAAGTAAAAACATATTAATTAACCTAACGGTGGAAGTAAAATCAACACAACAAGAAGTGGTCCATATAAATAAAACTTAGATATTTAAATCAAATCTAACTGATTTATCTGTTGATGGGATAAAAATAAAAACTGAAAAAACTCTCAATAAAAACAGTGTGCTGATAAAGGTAATTACTTAGAATTTATTTCTATAGTCTAGGAGAAAACGCATGAAATTGCGTCCATGAATCTAATAGTCTAAGACTAATTGTTGAAAATGGTAAAATTTGTTCTTGCTGCAAAGAAACCCTTGCTGAAAAATTTGTCGTTTGTGACAGTCGTCACGTAGCTCTGCACATGACAGAAACTTGCACAGGTTTATGTGCTTCTGAACTTTGAGCTGTTGTTATACAGAAAATATCTCTAGTATTCTTCTGCAGTGATTCTCGGTTATGTTTTATGAGTGTGTCCAAACTTCTGCGTGAAATGGAGACTCTCAAATCTGAAGTCACATCTTTGAAACAAGACATCTCGAGACTTAAGGAAAATGTGAGCACCCCGGTTTCACGATAAATAAAGTCGTAAATGAAATGAATGAGTGTCACAGAAGAGAAAAAAAACTTGCTTATCTTCAATCTTCCAGAACTACCCAATACCCATGATGATGTCGAGCAAGTAAAATCTATTTTAACAAATTCCGATAACTTTATTAATATTAATGACACGAAAATCTTGCATTTTATAATGTAATGTACATTAATCCACTGTTTTATCTAACCATTTTTTTCTATATTTTACTTAATTTTTATGACATCACTATTCTATTTTATTGTATTTTTTATTTTATATTGTATTTTATTTTATATTGTATTTTATTGTATGTAAACTGAATTGGGCTTTGCCCGTAAATAAATAAATAAATAAATAAATAAATAAATAAATAAATAAATAAATAAATAAAAAAATAAATAAATAAATAAATAAATAAATAAATAAATAAATAAATAAATAAATAAATAAATAAATAAATAAATAAATAAATAAATAAATAAATAAATAAATAAATAAATAAATAAATAAATAAATAAATAAATAAATAAATAAATAAATAAATAAATAAATAAATAAATAAATAAATAAATAAATAAATAAATAAATAAATAAATAAATAAATAAATAAATAAATAAATAAATAAATAAATAAATAAATAAATAAATAAATAAATAAATAAATAAATAAATAAATAAATAAATAAAAAAATAAATAAATAAATAAATAAATAAATAAATAAATAAATAATTAAATAATAAATAAATAAATAAATAAATAAATAAATAAATAAATAAATAAATAAATAAATAAATAAATAAATAAATAAATAAATAAATAAATAAATAAATAAATAAATAAATAAATAAATAAATAAATAAATAAATAAATAAATAAATAAATAAATAAATAAATAAATAAATAAATAAATAAATAAATAAATAAATAAATAAATAAATAAATAAATAAATAAATAAATAAATAAATAAATAAATAAATAAATAAATAAATAAATAAATAAATAAATAAATAAATAAATAAATAAATAAATAAATAAATAAATAAATAAATAAATAAATAAATAAAGTAATTTTAAAAAACCGACTCCAAACTCTTGCAGATGCCATGACAAGTTGAGTTTGCTGATTTTCTCACAGATTTCATTATCAAATCTAGACCAAATGTATATGGAACCACACCTGAGGTACTTCCTTTATAACAAAAGAAAAGAATCATAGAAATCAGACAACGATGTAAAGAACACATCAAAAAATTACGCCGAATTAAGAACCTTTTCTTTTTTTAAGTCGGTTAAAAGTGCCATATTTTTTTTTTTATTTTTCACTGACTTGCTTTCCCATTGAATTGTATTCTTATCAAGTATAGGGAATATGCATTAGTTGTATTGTCATACTTTTTTTGTTACCGATTACTAGGGTATCAGGTATAAACAGGTAAGTTTATATTAGTAATTGTACTTATCGGCTCGACCATTGAACTGCACATCAAAATATAGATAATTTTATTGCAGACAAAGTAAAATAAGTTTGGTCAAGTTCTGATAATGGAATCCATTCTCTTAATTTTTTATGTATATTTAGCGATAATTATTTGAAAAAAAATTAATATACAAGGTGTTACGTTTTGCCTGACAGATAAAAATGTTTTTTTTTTTTTAATTTTAGTATAGTCTGGTAATACGGTATTCAACTTTAGAATGTTTTTAAAAAATATTTCACTGTTGTCAAGAATTTAATATTTTTGTGAAATTAAAGGATGATGAAGACCCCAAATTAAATTATCATAATTTAGGTAGTTTAGTAATGATTTTAGAATTGTTTAAAATACAGACTAACAATAAACCAAGCGAACAAATAGTGGCGATGGAACTGGTTTTTGTTCATACAGAGTGCCTTGAAACATGTCTTAAATATGGCTAACTTTAAGTTGAATTTACTCATTTTTTTCAAATACAACATTCTGTATAATATTTTAGCATAAAATTCTTTATAAATTTACCTATCCAAAGATAGCAATAGATTAGCCAATTAAAAATATATAAAATGCCCTATCAGTGCGTAATTAATCGATAGTTGTTTTATTACTGGAAATATAAAGAAGTTTTTATTATAAAAGTTGTATTAGCATATTTAACAATTATTCTTAAGTATGGGTTTTTAAAGCAGAACCTCCTGTAAGTAGCTTGATTGTTTCTTTATTATTAAATAATTTTAATAGAATTCATTCATTTGCTATGTTGTATACAGAGTGTTTCAAAACTTAAAATTACGATTTTGTCAATTTTTTAAATAGAGTACCCTGTATGTTATACCACCAATTAATTAATTAGTTTTTTTTATTCTAATTTTTTTTGCATTCCTTATACCAAAACACATGTTTGTGACGTCGGGAGAACAGAAAACCATTTATTATTCTTGAAAAATGAAGAAACATAGAGCTACTGATAATAAGAACAAAAAACATTTTCATTTTTAGATGAAATAGGTTGAAAATTGAATTGTTTTATTTAAAGAATTATAAAACTCAATTAAACTTTTTGTAGTTTTGTAATTAACCAAGGTCTCTAAAAACGTTAATTTTTATAAGAAAACTATCAAAATCGTTAGAAAAAGTGCCTTTGAGTATAGGCAGTGTTAAACAAAATAAAACATTTATTCATAATTTGGTGGTTTAACATTGGTGGTATTGCATTTAAAAAAATCGTAATCGTGCATTTAAGCATACTCTGTATACATATTAACAAAGAAATGAAAATGGAAAATATTTTAGGAATTTTAACTGTATTAAAATTGTGATGTGAAAACAAACAAATCTGTTATCCAGATTGTTTATTCTTAAAAACTATGTTTGGTTTGCTTCTGATTTATACTGTGTATATTTGTGAATATTTGTGAAATATGTATCCTCCTAGAACTTTTGTATTTAAAATTTCTTCGTATCTCTAATAATAAAACAGCTATCGATTACATTCATACTGATAGGATACCCTTTAGTATATATAACGTGTTGTTATCGTTAGATAGATAAAGTTATTTGCTCAGTACGTGACAGAAGCGCCAATTCTTTTTTGTACTAATGGACTATTTTTGTCTATACTGACATTAAAATTTTTAAAAGAATTTGTAATTAAAAAGTATATATGTTAGTTTTAATAAAAGCATATGGATTTGTAAAACAAGTAAAACATTTATTATTATATATTTTTATTGCTTAAACTAAAAAAAATTAATAAAATTTAATAAAAATCAATAACAAAATAAAGGCAAGCAACAGTATTTACGGAAAAATGTATGAGAAGTTACTGAACTCTAATAAGTTGTCTTTAAAGAATTAACATATTCTGTCAAAATAAAAAATATCTTTAAATAATAGCGTAAAGTTAAAATGTATAAACAAAAGGATTGTTATTTATATTTTAATTTTTGTTTAAAAGAAAACATAAAATGAATGATTAAAACTGGTTTCCTATTAATAAATCACATACTCGTAAAATAATGAAAGGCAGAAATTATTGTCTGTTTAAAACCTTTCAAGTTTCGGATGACTACTATTTCCGGTATTACTGTTAATATTTAAAAAATAAAGGTAATTTTTCTTCTTATTGTACACATATTCATTTATTTCTTTTATTTAATTTTTATTTTGCTACTGAAAATTTTCATAATTTTCACTGTAATTTGGTAGTATTTTTACAATTTTCAATACAGCAACTCCAGTTGCTTATTGTATTGTTTTTACCTACTTTTTTAAAATATAGTAAAATGTGTACGTGTATCTGATACGCCAAAATTACAAAATATCACCCTAAAATATACAAACTATCCGCAGCTAGCGCTAGTATCGCTTTTGCTTCCCCTATCATGACTTCGCACTGAGCTAATAAGGAATTTTATGCTAACATAATATATATAATATATTGAGCAAATTGAACTTAAAATTAGCAATATTTAAGACATGTTTCAAGACACCCTGTATGAAAGTCTGTTTTTAAAACAATTTTAAAATTATTGCTAATCTGTATAAATTAGGATAATTTAATTAAGGGTCTGAATTATTCTGACATTTCACAAAATAATTAATTGCTTAGCAATCCTGTGATATTTTTTAAAAATATTTTAAGTTTAAATTATGTCTCATCAAATTGATATTAGGATATTTTCGAGATTTAGATTCAACAAAAATAGCTAACTATTATCGAGGTCTTGGTATATTATCCCTGACTATCTCCCTAGACTAAATATCAGCGACTATTTCATTAGAGAAATAGTGAATATTTGGTCTAGTAAAATAGTCGTCCCCCAAATATATACGACGTTGATTAATATTCTTCTATTTTTGTTACTGCTAAATTTCTCGAATATTTTACAATTTATTTCTACATAATTTTGGCCTTAATAATCAATTGATTAGAGCTCTAAAGCTAAAGCTTTTGACCTTTAATCAGATTATAATTGCCAAAAATTATGTCTTATAAAATTGATATTAAAATATTTTCTAGATTTAGATTCAACAAAAATAGCTTCCTATTATCAAGATTATTATTAATGCCAAAATTATGTTAAATCTTATTGTAAAATTTCGAGAAATTTAGCAGCAACAAAAATAACAGATAATAATCAAGGTCGTCTTATATTTGGGACGACTATTTTACTAGACCAAATATTGACTATTTCTCTAGAGTTAGATATTTGGTCTAGGGAGATAGTCATGTTTATTTTGCCAGAGTGGGTAAAGATACAATTAATGTCCAAACGAGACACAAAGGTATATCTTACCTTGATTGTATTTTATCATTCTGGATCATCGTGCGAAGGTTGAAGCACATGAATCAGAATTTTATTAAATGCACGTTTCCTTTACTTGTATTCACCTGTCTATTTTATTAAAAACATTTTTAGGTTTAAACTCAATACCTTAATAATTTCTTGATTTTTGACTTTTTAGACATTTGACGAAGATCTGGAACACGTTGCACAATGTTGGACCAATAATTGTGAATTTAATCATGACAAATGTAGAAAGACGAGTAAGTGAAAATATTTAAATTACTTACTGTATTGGTAGAGAGCTACTAGTATTTGAAAATCATTTTGAAGTTACCTGAAAATAAAAAAAAATAATTTCAATTATAAATGTAGCTTAAAATACAATTGAGCAGAATATGTCTGCTGTGTATCCATAAAGCAGGTAATATTTTTATTTAATATAAACGAAATATATAAGTTACAGGAAATGCTGGAAATTAGAAAATGTTAACAATCCCTAGGGATCTTTATCTTTATCGGTTGTAAGCAGGTAGGGTTAAGTATGGCCCAGAACACTGCGGCCTCTTGAGTCTATTGTATTCCCCTGCTTTCCCCGTATTCAGGTACTATCTTTGGAATAGTCCTGTGTCTTTGGTTAGTTTTAATAGGTTCCCTACCAAGTGTTTCTGGGGCGTTCTTTCCGGTTCTAGACCGAAAAGGATGAAACGTCGTCCAGTAAGAGCTTCGCATTCGAAGATCACATGGTATGAGGTTTCTTCTTCTTCCATGCAAAGTCTACACGTAGTGGGATCAATGTGTAATCCCATTACATAAAGGTGTTTCAGCAAGCAGTGCCCCGTTACTAATCCCACAATGGTGGATATCTAATCCCTAGGGATAGTAAGCTATTACTTATTTATCTACTTTCAGCCAATAAAAGTTAAATATTTTTAATCTGAACACACTTTTACTAGCAAGTATTAGTATTAACTGAGCCATTCTAGTAAAATCTGAATAAACCTTGCATTTATAATATAATGTTGCTAAATTGATTGTAATGACTTAAAAAGCTAAGAAAGGTAGAAAAATTAAATTATACTAAATGATGCCATTTACTTTTCGAAAAAGATATTTTACAAAAGTATTAAATTAATACTGGGCTTTGGTTTATTAAATTTATGTCATTATTTATTGTGGTAATATTTAAACCTAATAGCTAGTTATTTTCTCTTGATTTACTTAATATTTTCTTGTTTTTCTGTAACGTTAACTAAATAAAGATTTGCAAATATGAAATTATTTTTACTAGCTGCTGTCAGTAAATGTTGTTTTTATTAGCTTCTTCCAAGATTTACTAGTAAAAGTTTAAAACTTCCGTTCATGTAGAACACTTCCTAATAGATTGACTTAAAAGTATTTCCAAGTTTCCAGGTCTATTTTATAACATTTTTTTTATAAAATTTGGCATGCATATTGTAACATTTTAATAGTCTATTTAAAAAATGTTATTTTAAATATGTACCATCCGGTATAATTCAATTATCGCCACACACAATATTCTAAAGAAAGGGAAATTTCTTAAAGTGGGAGTACCACTAACCAAACGATCTCGTATTAGATTTTTAAATTTCATTTATTATTACTTTCTGCTCATATCTGGTGGTGTTTTGGCTGTTAAAGTGGTAAGCATAAAAAGTATAATGTCGTTATAAAATATCTCTTTAGAAATAATAATCAAACCTAGTTTTTATTGTATCTTGATTTATTTTTTTAAAAAAGTAGATGTTTCAAATTTAATTTATATATCGTACAAGAGCCACGTGAAAAACAAAATCTATTTTTGTCTAGAAAACGAATGAATGCAGCTGTAACCCACACGCTGTAACCTACACGCTGTAATCCACACGCTGTAACCCTCAAGCTATAACCTACACGCAGTAACTTAACCGCTGTAAACTAAATGCTGTAAATTGATCGAGCTGAGTTAACTGGAAAAAGCGACATTTACAACTCGCAGTTATAAGGAAGAACGAGTAACCGACAAAGGCGTTGGTTCCAGAGGTGCAGAAATTTCAACTACCTATAAAAGAAGTTGCTAGCAAAAATGTGGTAATTACTAGTGACTAAATTTATCTATGACCGAATCAAAATTGATACCTGATAAACTGTATATAATTTGTTTTCTGACCGGTTTCTTTTTATCTGAATAAAATCGTTAATTTTTATAAGTATATAATATGTTGAATCTTATTTTTCAAAAGTTACAACAATTTTCTTTTATTCACACTAAATTCTGTATAAGTTTTTATTAACTCCTTTTTATTGATAAAGCTAGAGTTCATAATTCTCACTAGCTTTTAAAAATAAAAAAAGAGAATTATTGGTGCCCAACATTTCCTAGAAAAATTATTACCCTAAAATTCTCTATTGGAAAAGCCGAATTCACGACTGAGAAAAATATGGTCAATGTGCTCATTTATTTCTTTTAATTTTTAAGGTAAGTAATGTTTGACATTAAATTTCAATGAGCTAGTAAAAATCTCTTTATAAGTGTTTTGAAATTAACATTTATCGAAAAGGTAACGACACATATTGCAAATTGGCGCGCAACGTGTCAATGTAATATTGCAATATTTATGGAGTCGTGCACAATGCGGCTACGGAGTCCAAATTTTTATATACAGGGTGTCCCGAAATTAGACGGTCATATTTTAACAGCGTAATCTACATCCTAAAATAGGAGTAAAAGTTTATATAGACATAGGTCCGAAAACGTTTTGTTTTTAAGATACAAGGTGTTACAAGTGAAGTCCTGATGGTACATTTTTGTGAATATTTTCTAAAATTACTTTGGTCACCGGTTTTCCAAAGTTAAAAAAAATAAAGTTTCTGATTCCACAGGCCTACTAATTATTGTTTATACTTTCGAATAAGATAACATCAACTTATCATAAAAGTTTCAAATGCTTTTCTCTTGAAAATGATGCGTCCTAGCATTTTTGTATGATCAAAAACTAGGGTTTAGTCCAATAAATAGAGCTTAGGAATGTAAGCATTTGTACCAGATTTCACTTAGTTACCTTTAAACGTTCAGAAAATATTTACAAAAGTGTGTCATCAGAACTTCTTTTTTAACACCCTGTATCTCGGAAAAACGTTTTCGGACCTATGTTGACGTTTCGTTTGACGTTTCGTATGTCATTTTCATTTGACGTTTCGTTTGATGTTTTTGTTTGATGTTTTTGTTTGACGTTTCGTTTGGCGTTTTCGTTTGTCATTTCGTTTGACGTTTTAGTTTGACGTTTGATGTTTTTTGACGTACCTATTATACTTATTCCTAAGTTTTAGGACTTGCTCTAACGACATAGTCTAAGTGAAAGAGTAAAACCATATTTGGTAGATTTTCACACTTTTATTTTAAAAATAAAAATTTTTAAAAAAACACTAACATGACATATGTTTCGAAGTACAACTTCTTTTTCAAATGAAGTTGTACTTCGAAACATATGTCATGTTAAAGTTTTTTTAAAAAATTTTATTTTTAAAATAAAAGTGTGAAAATCTACCAAATTTGGTTTTACTCTTTCAAAATTAAATGGATTTTCATCAAGTAAAGGCCGAAACAATAAATAATAGTCTAAGTGAATGACTTACCCATTAAGTGTACCCATATTAATACAAGTATTGAGCTGGTATTTAGCGGGTATTGAGCTGTTATTCATCGGGGTATTGAGGTGGTATTGAGGAGATATGAACCTTTGTTGGCTAGTGACGTCATGACACGTGACGTCAAGAAGAGTGACCTTGAAAGCGTCGAAAATTGCCAGATTGAACATTAGAGATTTCTCATGTTAATTTACATAAGGATTGTTTTAGAACTATTGCTGCTTCTTTACTCGTCTCACAAACACATTAGTTTTATATTTCTGTTAGTTCATATATACATAGTATTTTTTATTTATAAGAGAGTTACAGAGTTTTAAAAAAAATGTGTTATCGTTATTGGTGATAGTGTGTTTAATAATATAATATGGAAAATAAAAAACGGTTTACTTTCAAAACGAAAATCTGTGAAAAATCGTACAAGACTTCATAGATTTAGAAGCTTACTGACATCCGATAATTTAAAATAGTAAGTATCCTTACTGTGACATTTTTATTGTATTTTAAAGCAATATATAATTTTTTGATCTGGCAGTTTCTAGAACCAAAATGCTAAAGCCAAAATAAACTAGTCAATTGTCTACGAACCATGTACATCCCTTAATAACTATGAATTAGTTACCACAGGTTAACATGGAATAAATACTTGCAAAAAGGGGACTATAACCGAAAATATCCCTATGGGTATACACCAGAGTCATAAGACCGATAATTACCTACGGATCGGTGGTATGGTGGCCAAAGACTCGGCAAGCTGGAGCCATTCGACAGCTCAATAGTATTTAAAGGCAAGCGTGCTTGAGTACCACGGGAGCCATGAGAACGACTTCAACAACAGCCAAACCTAACACCACTACATGTATTCAATGAAGGTTAAGCCAGGCCAGTCACATACAGACTGCAGAAAGGTCTATTACCCACAAGCAGTTTGCATGGACGTGACTATAGCGAGCTAAAAAAGAGTTGGGGAACGACCAAATAATGGGAATGCCTTTAGACAAAATGACCCCAAAGTATAGCTTTTAAAAGCAATATAAAGTAAGTATACCAGAGAGAGAGAAGCGTTGACGAAATTACCTCCTATTTATGCAGAATTCACCTGGTATACTGGCGGTTCCAAAAACCATGAAGGTTTAGGAGTAGGTATATATAGTACCAATCCAAAGGCAAGAATCTCACTGAGCTTTGGTAAATGCAAAAATCCTTGTTATATACTCAGACAAGCGATGTTAAAAGCACTCAGTTCTATACAAGTACAGTCAAAGTTTATGTTGGACTACTTGGAAGCCCAAACTGAAATAGTCAAAACAGACTCACCGTAGCGTGGGTATAAGGGCAACGAAGAGGCTGATTTACTAGCCCCTACATATAAATTGTTTTTTTTTATATAGCAATACATTGTGAGCGAGTAAGGTCCTGTTAAAAAAAATGTGTTTACTAAATATCCTTTATCTGACAATATCATACATACCTGCGATTCTCTACATATAATCTACAACTATTGATTTTGTTTGCAATTATTTTTGTAATAATTTTGAAATAAATCTATATAGGTATTTTATGTCTTTAGTGCATGCTATTATTTTTATAATATTTTACTTTATCATAAAAAAATAAAGTCGATAGCTCAAATAGGTTTTAATCTACAGTAATGTACATAACAGTAATATTTAATAATTGTTTTTTGTTGTAAAAAAATGTCTGCCCTACATAGGTACTGAAAAATGTCGTGAGTGGCCGTTTCATATATTAATTATTTATTATCCATAGTACCTATAGGGTCTAATTTGGTTCTGCGCAAATTTTTAACATCTTTAGCAATAAGCGACTTTTGTACTAAATTTTGCTCTACTAAAAACTAAAACGCGCACCCAAACGCAACTTGAATATCTCTCAGAGAAACAATTCTTCAAACAACAATCGCGCGTCCAGTAACAAAGCCTACACAGAACACGAGGCTAATGGCCGTAGTAGTCGACGCCGATGACACCAAATTAAAAAAAAAACAATCGCGCGTCATTGTCAAATTGGGCTGAGAGGTACTGCGTCGCATATTATTTAGCAGATTTTAAATATGAGTTAGTAGCCTACTGGATAACGCTCTTAAGTAATCGCTTGCATTAAATAGTAAAAGCTCTAGCATTTACTAAATTTTTAACTATCACTGTAACATACAGGATGTACAATTAAAACACCTGAAATAATTTCTTAGGAAATGTATTCATGGAAAATCCCCGAGATCGGCCGATTTTGATTTCAAGGGGGAAGTATTTTGATCTTATATTCATGGATGTAGAAACCCCTTCAAAATACTAAATGGCACGAACATGCTCATATTTTTTTTGCTGTGTTAAAATTAATTTAAAACACCTGTTGGGAATGTCGGTGAAATAAACCGATAAAAAATAAAAAAAAATAATATCAAAGAACTCAACTGCAAAACATTAAGTTTTTATCAGCGAAGCCTTGATAATGTGACTGATATATTTTTATGGTTTTACAATGCTATAATTGCAGATTCAGGAGTAATTCGAATACAGGAATTATGAGAGAACAGCATTTACTTGAATTTATGAACTGGTATTATGGAAAATGATATTGTCCGTCTTATTTTTACCTGGTAACTTGACCTCAATTTTCTTGAAGACTTAATCTACCCTCGCATTGAGGAAATTCTCGAAAACGACAATCAGATCCCAGAAAATAATTTATTTTTTCAACACTATGCACTACGAGAGCTAATATCTCAAAAGTACAAAGACTAGCCTGTGTTTGCATTACTGGTGCAATAAGAACCTGTCCTACGGCCGCAATGGAGGTGATCTTAAATCTCACCCCTCTACATTTGATGATAGAGAATGTGGCAAAAAGGACACGATATAGAATGATTAGGAACGGAGTAATCAGACGAAAGTCTACTTGCTTCAGGACTAAAGATACCTGGGACATGCCCCAGGATGAAATGCAATAGAATTACAGTTTTGTGAAAAAATTCAAAACCACCGAGCTGAGCTGCAAGAAAGAATGGAGCCAAGAATCAATCGCGCATACAACCGAAAGACGTGCTATTCAGTGGTATACGGACGGTTCCAAAACCATAGAAGGAACTGGAATAGGAGTGTATGGGCCGAGAACCAAGCACTCCGAAAGCTTGGGAAAATACCCAAGCATCTTCCAGGCGGAAATTCACGCCATCGAGAAGTGTATCCAGTTTAACATCGAGAGAAACTATCATAGACAAGAGATTATCATCATGTCCGACAGTCAAGCAGCCATCAAAGCGCTGAGTTCTTACGTAATCAGCTCAAAAATGGTCTGGAGATGCCTAGAACAATTGAATGAGCTAGGCGAGAAAAATAGAGTTACTCTCACTTGGGTCCCGGGACATAACGGGGTACAGGGTAACGAGATTGCAGATAGTCTTGCAAGAAAAGGGGCTCAAGCACCCTTTGTGGGACCTGAGCCGTTCTGCGGTATCAGCAGTAACATAATATTAGGAGAAATTAAAAAAGAATTGGGTAGTAAAAGAACCGATAATTGGAACAATCTCTTGGGGCTGAAACAGACCAAGATACTTCTGGGTGAATATAACCAGAAAATATTGGAAGCTTGCATCTGACTAAGCAAGAACAGGCTACGTATTGTAACAGGGATCCTTACCGGGCACTGCCGAGTAAAAGGACACCTAAGTAAACTAAGAGTAGTAGAGGATAGTGAGTGCAGATTCTTTGAGGAGGAGGAGGAGGACGAAACCTCCATTCACATTCTGAATGTGTAGCACTCCAGAATCCAAGGGCACTATATCTAGGAGGATATCAAATAGAAAAGGGAGATTTACCTAACTTAAAGCCACTTCAAATCCTACACTTCCTTGAGAAAATAGGATTGGAAGGGTCGCTATAGGCATTGAGACATTTCCTAAATGCAGTGGCGACAGAAGGGGACACAATAGATCTTTTAGGTCGCAGTGTATTAACACCTCATTCTCAACATAACATAACATAAAACAATGCAGCTCCTGCACGTGACTTTTTAAGTCATCATTTTCCCCAACAGTAAATTGGTAAAAGGGAATTAATTAAGTAGCACCCAATATTGCCAGACCTATCACCATTAGACTTTTTGTAAGACTAAATTTACATCTTTAGAAGATCTTCTCCACCTAATAGTGCAAGCATGTAAAGAAATAACCCCTAAAATGCTCCGAAATGTTCGGCAACATGTTGAATAAAGACTTTTTCCTACATGGGAGTAAATGGATCGCAATTTAAATATTTAAACAACTAAAACTTGTTTAAAACCTTTTTTCTTTGATGTATTTTACCGACACTCTCAACAGGTGTTTTACATTAATTTTAACACAGAAGAAAAAATGTTAGCATGTTTAAAAAGAGAGTTGAAGCAGCTTTAAAATGATGTGATACTTGACCCCCCAGACCTATATCCATAAATTAAATATAAAAATAAGTCCCCGTTGATATCAGAAACGACTGATCTATGGTATTATCCAAAAAGAAAACTTCTACTAGGAAAATATTTCAGGTGGACTTTTTAATCGGTATTTCACAAACTGCGTTTTAGCTATCACCTACTTATTGGCTAACCCATATTTTAAAATTTATATTCATTTTCCTTTTAACTATTAACTCATCTAAGATATAGACTATTTTTTAAAATATATTAGAGTCTTAGTATTTAAGTTAAACACCATAACAGTTTTTTTATATTAATTATTTCTTAGGTATTAAAGTAGAATTATTATTATTTTCAGCAAAATACAGTTACGTAGGACAGAACTTAGCTGCCTTTTCGACAACTGCTCCGTTTAGAAGTATTAATATAACAGCACGGGTGGAAAGAATGATCACAAGCTGGTACAACGAAGTTGGAAGATATAAGACGCAGAAGACATTCCAAAGCTCGTAAGATAGATTCTATTCAATATAAAAGAAAATAGTTAAATAGTTTGGGAGATGTATTAATGGGAATTATCATATGAGCCTTCTTGATTAGGGGGGAGGTAGTAACAGTGAGACACAAAATGTTTACACCAGAATTTGTACTAAAAAAATTAAAATGTAAAACTCTATAAACAAGTAAACTTACTCTCATATATAATATAACATATATTCATTTAGAAAATATGAAAATCTAGAAACACATTCTGTTTTTTTAATTTTTTTTTTTTAATTGGCTAGTGTCTCACTGTTCCAACAAAAAACTGAACAGTGAGACATTTAACGAATATCTAAGGAATCGAAGGTTATTTCAAATTTCAAGAGGTTTTGTTAACGCTTAGTCTTCCCTTGAAACTTTGGAGGTGGCAATATCATTTTAATGTTATTTTTCTGAACAAGTGATATGTCTTCAACATCAGGTTTCATGAAAGTTCCATAACATTTTGTACTTTTTCGGAGGAATTTTATTTCTGCATCATCACCTGCTGTAGACAAAACTTCTCCTACATAGTAAACAGACTTTCCTTTACTTTCAAACTCCACTAAAACATATTGTTCTGGAACTGGCATTCGTTCTAATCCTATGTTCACATTTATTTCTTCATCTTCGCTTACATAATCCTCACCACCACTTGAGTCTGGCAATTCTATATCAAAACTATCATCTTCTGATTCACTTTCTTCTTCATTTCTTCTCTGGATTTTTTTTGCAAGGTTCATTTCATTGCCACCACTTTTTATTTCATTTTTAAATATATTTTTCTTTACTCTTTCTTTGTCTGGTTTTATTTTATTCTGTTTGTTTCTTAGTAATTCCTCGCGTTCAGGAGTGTCAGTTGCTATCATGGTTTTTCCTTTGCGCCGTTTTGTTGTTTGAGTGGTTGTTCTTGGTTTAGCTTTCGGGAAACCTCTAAAAATTTTCGGGCTCAGAAATGTTGCTTCAGAAGTGTCATTTGTCATAGTCTCAGAACTATTTCCGTGGATTTTAGTCGATGTGGAAGGACCTGGAGAGGCCAGTGTCGATAATGAAGGACCTGTGAAAGGCAAAGTCGGTATTGAAGGAGATGGGGTATATTCTCTATCAGTTACTGAACTTGGCATAAAGTCTTCCACATTGAAAATATATCTATCAAAAGAAAATATCCCGCATTTACTAAACGCATTGGTAATGTTTACCGGAGTCATCGCTCGAGGATAAGCAATGCCCACGCATGATGCAATATTCTAAATGCTAAAAGTTTGTCCTGGATGGCTCATCATCCAGCTATCGATCGCCGAGCTGTAAAATGTCTGGAATGGCTTTAGAACCCCAACATCCAGGGGTTGCAGCTTATTTGTACAATGTGCTGGTATAGTTAATATAGTCACCCCGTTTTCTTTGCAAATGTCTATGGCCTCTATGGATAGATGGCTAACATGGTTATCCATTATTAGCAGAGATGGATTTTCTTTACAACTAGAAGTATGTCGGATAAAGTGATTTATAACCTGCACAAAACATTCGGTGTTCATCCATCCTCCCTTAGCAGCTAACCCTAGGGTTCCTGGTGGAGCTCCGTTTGTCATAAAGTCTTTAAAATGGACACGCGGGAAAATCATAGCCGGGGGAATAGCTACACCTGAGGCCCCAACTATACAACAGGTTGTTACAAGAGTTCCACGTTCGGCACTGGTTGCCTTACTGACTTGCCGAACACCTTTACAAGCAAACACCTTTTGTGATTTCTGTACTGTTTGCGTCCCGGTTTCATCTAAATTGAAAATTCTGGTTCCATCTCCAAATGCAGGATGACGCTGTAAGACTTCTTCTAGTTTATTAAAAAAAGACTCCACATTAAATTTATTAAATCCAGTGGCTCTTGATAAACTGCAGCCTTCTGGGGTTATGAGCGCTAAGATGGGGTGTCTTTTTTGAAAGCCCTTTACCCAGGCAAGGGATGCTGATTGGCACGCATGCCATTTCTCAGGAATATTTATTTTATTTCGGATTGCGCATTCATACACTAACCGACGGGTGTCATCTCGAAAGAGTCTATAAAACATTTTTGCACATGTAATAATATAACCACAAATTTTATTCTCTTGCTCTGAAATGAAAAATTGATTGACTGTATAGTTTGGACACATTCTAACATCAGAATCGTTTCTAAACTTTTGAACATATCTGGAAAGAGTCTGAAAAGACAAGCCTTTTTCTCTAGCGGCTTGACGGATACTCATTCCTTGTTGGACTAACAGAACAGCTTCTCTCATTGCTGTGTCACTAAATCGCCCCACTACCCTGTCTGTTTTATTCTTTCTTTGCATTACTATTGTCTGTAATAAAAATTATACCTGGTCAGTAATGCCGCTATGCAATAAGTAACACTAAGACATGCATTAGAAACACGGAGACACGTCTCACTGTTCCAATTATGACTAGTCTCAGTGTTCCTAAACCACATTTTTTATAAATACTTTTCACAAAATATTAAATCTTGAATTTACGAGCTAAAAACTATAGTCATGTGCTACCACGACACTAATAAACACTTCTAGTAGACTTACCTTGTTTAAATTGGTATTAACCAGGAAAAATTCTAATTCAAAGAGGGCTAATAAATTTCCTTTGTCACACACTAAACTGATCATCTGTTACTGCTTTTTTACTTTATCAACTAAATTGCATCTGATGTATTGAGAGCCCTCTGTTGGTTGGTAGGGTTACTATTCAATGGTCTGCATCATCCAAAAACTATCCAAAACTATCATGTCTCAGTGTTCCAGCCGTCTCACTGTTACTACCTCTCCCCTAAGCGAGATCTGCCATATATTTTTCTTTACTTTGTATTTTTTGCACCATTTTAGATTTTATACCCACTAATCATATCAGTACTAACATTTTTATAATTGTCCCTATCTTTCTTATTTCTTTAGTACCACTTTCATAGTGCATTTTTTCTGTTTAGTATTTCAATATCTCCCTCTTTGTCATTTAGGTATAAGTATGAATATTAAGACACAAAATATGTTATTTATATTGATTAGTATGACTAGATTTGAGTTATGCAAACACTTCCTAACCTTAAACCAAATTTAAAAAAATTAATATGGGTAATAAATTACATCATTTAAGTCTACTTTTTAAAATTTTGTAATGGGATAAATAAGCGGTGAGAGTTAATTATCTTCTCTCTTTTTACTATTAGCTAATTAAACAATTAATATTAGAATTTGTCTGTTAATTTTATAATAAAAAGGTACTTTTAGTAAATTTTCAAAAAAAAAAAAAAAAGGTTTAGTCATAATTTACATTTTAATTTAAAATTACATATCTCTTGAAAATAACTCAAATTCGTGAAAGAATAATCGCCTACATCAGGATATTAAACCTTTTGCATAATACACTTGGTTATCTATTTCCATGTGTTCAAAAGCCGCTGGTTTTGGATTAAAAGATCAATGAAAGAAAAATAAACACTTCAGCAGTAACACGGTTTATTTTCATTAAGAACACCACACTACATTATTCATTAATTATTATAATATTTACATATATTTTACTCAGAACCGTTATGGATTGCGCATTCATTTCGCGCATATATATTATCAACTGTCTTTCTTTTGCCTAATCATTATTATCGATTTTGAATTCGTGCATTTCTATTGGACAGTAACCGCATTAGTTATGTTTATTTTATTGGATTTGCCAACTTTGCCCTAAATTGATTCTTAAGTAAATTCACCAGGGGCGGTCTTGAATCATTTTGCTGATTCTGATACTTATGTTAAAGGTATTTTTAACAATAGTTTTTAAGAGAAACCGTTTATTTATAGAAAAACAGGAAAAATAACACGTTAGAACAATAAATGAATATACATTAAAATCTCAAAATGTCCATTAAGAAACAAGTTTATTCACTTCCTTAGTAAAAACATTATTCTTTAAAATGATTCCAGGTTATTTTACGGTGCAATAGAAGTATTTATTATCCCTTCCCTTAATAATTCTAATGTGTCCACTTCATTAGCGCAAACTTTCAGTTTTACATAATTTTATAACATTAAATCTGAAGGTGTCATATCAGGTGACCTAGAAGGCCACGTCTCGTCAAATTAAACGTCGTGAAAAATTTTTAACGATGAGGGAGAATATTTCTATGGTAAAAATAACGTATGCAATATAAGTTTTAGGACAAATTTCGTAACCAATTTTTATCAGTTCGAAAAGATTCACTCTAGCTACCATTGCCTAGAATTTATTCAAGTCGGCCTTGTTAAAAAAAAGTTTCGTGACATTGCGTGTAAAATCAAAATCCGAAAAAGCATCTATAACTGAGTTAGCCGAATGCGAAATGTGGATAATATAAATGTTTTTCAAGGACCTAATATCTTCCGTGCAACTTTTTACCAAACAACAAAGGAATATGAAGAAGAAATACCTTGTTTGAACCTACCAAATAAATAAACTGAGAGAAAATGCAAAAGAAAATGTTGGTGCATCTCCACGAAGTTTGGGAAGGCGCATACATGACTGCATATCGAGAAATTAAGAGAACTGGATTGTCATATAGAAAAAGAATTCCACGGTGTTGTCAAGCACAAAGGCTTCAACACTTTGCAATTAACCGAATTATCTATTTGTACGATCAAAAATATTTTACGTTATCTAACTCTGAGTTAAAGGGAAATAATGTATTCCATACTAAGGATTTTAATTCAGCTCCTGTTAATGTGAAATTTAAAAGAAAAGCTAAATTTAATGATAAAATTCAACTGTGGTGCTATTTCTCTGGCAGTTTCATCGCAGCCATATGTAGGACCTGTTAGAGAAAAAGACATCACTGCAGGTCTTTATATACAATGATGTTTGCCTAAATTGTTACGAATTATAAACGATCATAATAATGATGAAATCATGTTCTGGTCTGTTCTAGCATCTTGTCACTATGCCAGACAAACTAAAGATTGGTTGGAAGCCAATTATCCTATTGA